GAATACTATAGTACATATTATGTATATTTGCGACAGCACAGAAAAAAATGAAAATATTCAATTTGCAACCGAAATGCAATTTATGTGCGATTTTCAATTATTATTCCTCAAATTACGAATCGTAAAAACTCCACAACTCCACTTGATTCACAATTGAAATTTCTTTTGTAGCAACCGCACAGTGCAGCGGTGCACCGTCCCAGTGACAGGCGTAATTCTACACAGGGATGGGTGCAACCGAAGACCAACGTAGAGGCACACAATTTCACAATTCGCGAACAAAAAACAAAATAATTTATTATTGTTATTATTATTGTATGGCGATTTCTATATATCCGTAGTTTCATCTGCTTTTGTCTCTATATAGTAAAATATTATTTTTTTTTTCCACCAATAAATGTGCAATTTTTTTCATTGGTATTATTTATTTTTTTTTTTTTGTTGAATTTTTTTCTCAATTTTTTCTCTTGTAAACGCAGTCTTTCCGCACAATGTTGCTTGGATGCGTCCACACGTAGTTGTCCTGCCACATGTCCAGATTCAGCAATCACGTTATCGTCGTTTGACATGTTGTGCAGCGTTGCTCTGCTACCTTAAACAGCAGCGCACACGCATTATTGCTCTAAATCCAGCGTTACGATCTGATAGGTAATGTTACGTTTAAATCGCTTTAAGATTTATCGATAATCCCGGCTGATAAAAAAAATACTACAATCATAAAAAAAATCACAAAAAAAAGTGCGCTTATGAAGCACACGTTAAAGCAATGAACTTGCTTTCTTATTGAATTTGGGCATTTTAAAATTTTTGGCATCATCATAAATAATGCAGTTACATAAAAAAATCTCAAATGCTGGCATAAAAAACTGCAACAAAAATAAGCCATCCAATCGGTAAAAGTAGCTTTTAATGATGCATGATTTATGTACGTCAGACTGGAAACATCATAAAATATTTAATAAAAAAATCTACGCAGACCAGCAAGCCCACATCAAAAGCATGTATAGTACATAAATTTATAATACACAATACAATCAGTTTTAATACGAAAAAATTATTTTATAATCGTAAATATTAAATAAAATCACAATATTTCGCAACAATACACTTTTATAGTGTCACATAAGAGAGAAAATACTTAATAATAAAGTTTAAAAAAGCAGCACAAGATTTAAAAGTATCTAATGTGTATCTAATGAACCCAAACATTTTTAGACGTAAACACTTGCCACAAAAATATATGTGAGGGAATATGGGTTAAGAAACCCTTATTTACGCACTACTACTAGAGAAACTATTGGAGTTTATTCCACTAAAAGCTAAAACTCAATCATATTAGTTCCAACAATGGTTAGGAATGAATGTCTTTATTTACAGACTGCATCTGTATACAATTCATTTTCCTTTTATTTTCTTCTTTAATATACAATTAAATTTCTTTTCAAAAGATCGAGATTTTCCAAAAGGTAAGGTTTTTCACAGTTAAAAACCTTGCCGAGCAATAATAATTACCGTAAATAAATAAATATATTATCAGTGTTAGTTAATAATTATCTCTGTAGTATTGGTAATTATTTACGTACAGTGAAAATTTATTTATTTAAAAATTAATTAAACTTAAATTTAATACAGCTATAACCAATATACCCACTAATTCCCCTTGAAAGGTTGCTACATATCAACATCTGAAGCCTGTATAATAACAAACAGAACCAAACAAAATACCACACAGAATTGGTATTAAACACTATAAACAAATCCAGTTGAGTTTCCAAGATCGCTCGGATTTACGTTCCAGACACAATCGTTAATTTCGACGACCAAGTTACCGTACAACACCCCCAAAAGGATTTTGCAAACAGGTCCCCGCGGATTACAACAACAACAACATATCCTACGAAAAGGGTACCAAATGTGCACTTTATTGATTTCAAAGCTATATGTGTTAAGTAAATACATTAAACGATCTGAGATCTAATAATATAGATCAGCATCGATCGAAACAGTTATTTATTTCAACTGACGCAATTGATAATCAAGGGGAAATCAAATAAGCTCTTTTCGATAAGCAAGCTACTTATATTTTATCTAACTATTTTATTTAACACTGACGTCTGATAATGCTTTGAATACCCTGAGAATACAATACATATGTGCAAATAAGCACATATGTTAAAGCGTTATCACTTATTACAGACTATTGTCTATACAATAAAATTTAAACGAGCTTATGTTATGTTTAATAGTGCAGCTCAAAGTAAAACGGTTCTTTATTCCAACAATGGGAATGTTAAGCAAGCTGTTTTCGAACTTACGTATCCTCTCTGATTACTTTACACATCGCTATAATCTGATGTATCACCGACAAAGTAGAATAAGATAAGATAAAATAAGATAGCAATTACATTAATCAAGTGTATAACTTTCTTTCTCACTGTATGCAAAAGGTTTACGAATTAAAAGAAAAACAATAACAAATAACATGTTTAATGCGTAGTAAATATAACTTACTTGTTTATAGTGCTTTTGTTGTTGTTGTCGTGGTGAAATTCTTGCTTTTATTGAAATAATATTATTTGTTGTAATTCTTTCATTGAGTACAGTTTTTGTTGTTGTTATTGACACTGTTGTATTACACTATTTAACTGTTCGATTTTTTGTTGCTATTAATTATAACAAATACTGCTTTATTGTAGTTTTTGTTTTGTTAGTCGGTTTGTTTTTGTCATCGTTTAGTTAGTTAAGTTTTTGTTGGAATTTTAACGTCGGCCGCTGCATTATTGCCTGGTTAAAACTGTTTTGTTATAATTTATTTTGTTGTTGTAATCACTATTAGAAATTGCTTAGTTATTATTGCTGTATTAATAATGTATTGTTATAATTTCTTAATGGACCGTTTTATTGTTTTTGTTACTGTTATATTTTGGTTTCGTTTTCTTTAACTGCTGTATTATTTATGTTGCTTTAATAAAACCGTATTTTGTTTTGTCTAATTTTCTTATTTCACGAATTGAATTTTATCACTGAACATATTTTATATTTATTTAAATATAAAGTAATAAGAACAAGATTTCATATATCAAAATTAGAGTTTCATATTAAACGTATTTGAATTATTTGTACACTTTTATAATCCAATTAACAATTATAATTTCAATAATACACTCTAGAAACACTTTTAAGGCTATTAAACTAAAAAATATTTTTTACTGCTTATTACCGATTTTTTTTTTTATTTTTTTAATGTTATCGTTTTTTTTTTATTTATTTATGATAAATATTTAAAAAACTTCATTTAATTAATTTCTTCATTATTAAAATTTCTTTTATACCACAAATCATATATTAAGCAGAATAACTACATATAAATAATTGTAACGCAACTAATTATTGATAATAATAATTTTAATAACACATTTTATTTCTTAGAATATATGTTTTAACTTTATTATATAAAATATGCATTTATTTTTACCTAAATATTAATTATTTAATGAGTCCCAACTACCGAATCCTCAATTTCGCACTTTACAAAAACAAAGCCAATCAACGAGGACTTCATTTACATCGCACCACACGACGCACAAAACTAAAATTCACTAAAAAATATTCTCCACTGATTAATTGCTTTGGTTTTCATTTTCATTTTTTACAGTAAAACCAGAGTTGTACCTTAAGTTGTCACTGTTAATTGAGCCTTCAACTAATATTTAGCATAATTCGAACTAAATTCACCACAAATAAAAGAAATGTTATATTCACTATGGAAAGAACGTATGTAAATACCCACCAAACACAAGTTCATGTTAAAATATGTTTATAAAAAGGATAATAATGTTGATGTTATTAATAAAATTATGATATTTCGTAAGACAGATTCTTTACTTAAACATTTTTTGCTAGTTATGTTAACAAAAATATAAAAAATTATGAGAAATACTACTTATTTAAAATAATCATTTAAGGACTATGGAAAGTGATATAGAAACACATAATTCAGATTGACGTGAGGTACTACCCAGTGAGCTAAGCTCAAAGTGCCTGCTCTATGACATCTATTCAGATTTTCTAAAAAGATCGTATTTAAAGAATTCACCGTAAAAAGGAACAGCTTGTCTATTGTTTTCCAATGGTATATACTATACGGATTTTATATAAATCCGTACAAAAAAAAAGACATCAGAAAAGTACTCTCACAATCTGTATTTATAAAACCATTGCTTGATCAGTAAGTAGATGACTTTCATATGTTGGAAAAACCAAAAAGATGCGCTAATACTAAGTAAAACAAGCAACGACTAGATGATAAGCTCCACATCATTCACAGTGGAACTAAAACGTATGCTCGAATCGAAAGGTTTCATCATGAGTAATAAGATTTTGTTACAACTCTTACACCTGCAAACTAGAGACACATATAAAAATTAGTTTGAACCTATTTGGAACTAAACTTATAATACTTCCATACCATTAAGGGTTAACCTTCTGACTACCGAAATTCTAAATTGAAATGATAATCAAAGAATATATTAAATTGCCTTTCTTACCATTTGATTCCGAATCTAGTGAAGAAATTACATAAAGATCTTTAAAAATCACATATTTATTAATAGTTAAATATTTAGTTAGCAAGTAGAACTATACAACTTAAAGTTTCTTAAACAGATCTGTCAAAAAGTTTATGTAGTAGATAGAAACAAAATCGCCGATTAAAAACGGACTTATAGAAATTTTCAATAAAAGAATTTGCGAAAGGATGGTTAAGAAAGAAATAATTATTTATTTTTTATTTATTTTTTTACTCGTATCTCTTGCTAAAAAAAATTTTATTAACCCTTAAAAATTAATGCCGAAAAACAGATGTGAAGGAGAAAAGTGGGCCGCAAATTATATCTTATTGAAGCCTCAAAACTCAATTTTATAGCACAGTGATATATAAATCATCTCTTTAATATGCAAATAAAAAAAATAATAAATTAGAACAATTGATTAATTGTTTCAAGAAAAAAAATTTATTTTGCTTCCATCTCTGAAACCTCTTTTAATCAGAATTTTGATAAATGAATATCTCAAGAAATCCCATCCTAAATATATTTTTAATTAATTTAACATTTAAAATCACATTAAAAGTATTTAAACCAAATCAAGTGTAGATTCACCAACTAAATGAATAGTTTTTCCTATTCCCTCAACTTAGTGAACGTCTCTTGGTGAGCCGTTGGACAACAAATGTATTTGTTTGATTATTTCATCAATATTTGCATTTGTTATATCCAATAAATTCTCCAAATGTGCAATCTTTTGATGCGCAGCTGTCAAACATACTCTATTCGCATTTAAATCCTTAACAGATTGCTCATACAAAGAGTAATTGATCATTTTCTGCGGAATTTGTATAATTGCATCGCCCATCTGCTTGTTAACACTAACCATAATGATATCATCATTATCGGGCAAAGTACCGGACATTTCTAGTTGAGTGGCCTTTTTAGCATTTGCCAGCTTCTCTTCTTCGAACAACATAACATCCATAAGTACTATTTCAATATTACCTGGCTCAGATTTTGCCAACTTTTCAGTAAGTGATTTGCTTAGTTTCATATTTAACTTAGCGAATACTTTTGTGTTCATCGTTTCCCAATTTAATAATTTTGACTTTAGGCTATTGCATGGGGGATAGTTATGAACATCGATTTGCTTAGGTATAATCCCTTTAAGTAGCTTAGCCATCAGTACCGCATCGGAAAAATCCTTATTCAACTTCTCGGTAGGAATCTTATGATCGCGCAACCATTTGAGCAAGACATTGTATCGATCCACATTTAGAGGCTTCGACTTTTGGTCCCACTCACCTTCTCCATTATTCTTGCTCATTTTACAATAAATTTTTTTTTACTTGATAATTACGAGTTATTTTTTGAAACGAAAATATATAATGTAAAATGTAATTTGTTTCATATTCTTGACTTATTTGAAAAAAAAAATTTTAAATTTGTTTCAATGTAAACTACTTTATTTTTTAGGAGTTGCTTATTTACTCATATTACTAACTGTGGTATTTTAATAGTTTGTATATTACTAGGATCACTTAACAAGACATTAGGAAGTGCATTAAAGGACACTAGTGTGGTGGTGCCCTCTAACCACTATCGAGGCCAATATAAAGGACTTGAACCAAATAATGGTGAAGAATGAAAAAAAAAATAAAGCTAATAATATATAATCGTCGTGGAAACTCAGTAAAAGAGACCGCATGAATACAGCAAAATTTACTACAGTTCTCTCTAGTCACTCATGTATAGGAACTCACGCAAAAAAACTGCACATTCCTTTTAATAGTGATTATAAAAATTTTAAAAACTTTCAAAAATATAAGAAACAAGCATTTTTTCTGGGAATACTCTTTCTGGAAATAAGCTCTTTGCTGACATGTCCCTGCAACCAACCAACTAACCGAATAATAAAGATTACTTCAAATCAGCGCCGCTAGTTCTAATAGTCTAGTGAGATTGCAAGTAAAGAGACTGATTGGAATGTTATTACTTAATTTTGATCTGATGCCCCTTCATCTTAGCCATCCTGATCCAATGCCCCACCGCTCCTACACTAACGTTAAAATTTTAAAAAAAGGTGACAGAAGAAATGTCGTGCATGGAGGGTATCTCCGTAGTACCCGTTGTTTTTAAAATATTTATACAGATTCAGGCTTCTAAATTTAATGCGTCCTTATATCTCTGATGATATCACTCATTGAGAAAACCAGCGTTTGTGATTGCTCATGCTGTCAAGGAATGGAATCCCCAATGATTGAAAAGACCAGATTGATCGAAAACTACTTGGCGTAGGACAATAACGAATGAAACACAGACGTTTTTTGCTAGAAACAGGAACGACTGAAAAGAATTTGCAAAAACTATTTGTGAATAGAGTAATTTTAAGATTTATTTTGTAAATTGAAAACATGGCATAATTAATCATATACCTATAGCCTTTAGCGGCAAAATTTTTTGACTTGGTTTTGACACCCATTCATTTCTGTTCTTTTGAGTACTGATTTAACCGAAATTAAATGATGAAATTATTATTGCTGTTTTGTTTGATTACTAGAGCTACTTATGTTACTTTCCCATAAATTCCGTTAAAAGTTTTTGTATTATTTATGAAATCGGATAAAGCTAAAACTAAAAATATAAGAGCTGCAAAATTTAACTATTACCTTATTAACTAAATTTAACTTACTTAACTATATATTGATAATTACCAAATTTTGCAGCTTATCTATCTTTAACTTCAGCTTTATTCGCTTTCATATATAATTCAAAAGATTTTTATTGACTTATGACTTAAATAGCTACTTATCATTGAAGAAATAAAACACAAATAATTGCTTCACTTTTTGGTGTTATTTTCAAAAGTTTACAAATTCCTTTTAAGCAGTGGGAGAAAGTAATTCATAATTAATGGAATTCAATAGCACAGGGAAGCTCACCTTACTTGAAGAAATCACGACTTTCAACTTTTTGCCGCAATATTTCCAATTACCAACTCAATTGACACCGCTAATTTCTCAATTCTTTAACATAATAAGGCGTCAATAGCTGTCATTATTTATCGATACCACCTCCTGCTGTGCTTCCTGTTTATTTAAAAATGAAAAAAATAAAGAAATGATATCGAAACTGGAAAAGGTACAAAATATTCAACACGAAAATTTTCCCAATGACATCGCACACCCGAACTTCGACTCCAACTGGCAACACCGCAAATTGCGAATTTAATCAAATATTACGGCTGAAAAACTTACTAAATGAAGGCAATCAACAGCAAATGAACTAACAGGCCACATTGCCAACGAATAGACAGACAGTCAGACCGACGAAACGGTCTGTTGGATAGATGGATGTATAGTTGCATAGACGGACTGAATGGACTGAAGGAAAGACAACAAATTTGAACAATATTGACTATGAATGGAGTAGTGTGAAAAGTTAAACAAAATTCAAATTTAAAAGACTTGCAACAGTCATAGTGGCGTAATAATTTAGTGCCACATCAAAATTGACACTTTCTGGCATTTGACTCGCGTGCCACAATCAAAGCAACACAATAGATTCATAAGACCAACAACTAAAGCAGCAGCAACAATGTTGTAGTCAATGAAGACAACAGCAGTGAGCAATCAAGCCAGGCCGCATGCAAAGAAATATGAAAACCACATTGAGTGCTCTGTTAATAAAAGAAGCGACAGCGGCTGCCACAACACGTTTTCCAACGATTCATTAATAATTTAAAATCGAAATTGCCAATGATAAGCAAAACTGTACCAGCAATAGCAACAGTAACAGCAACAGCAACAGCATTAGCAATAACAATAACAATAACGACGGCAGCGGCAGCGGCAACAACTGAAATCGGCAACAGTGAGTTTTGTGCCCGAAGTTGGTCATGTGTTGGCATGCAAAATAAATGACTAAACTTTGTCTGGAATCAAAGTATTTTGCTTTGACCAAATTGACAGGCAACCTGGTTAAATGAGTGGCTTCTTTGACACCGCAACATGTTGTTCTTGCGTTTGAATACGAGTACTGCAGTAGTGAAGAAGTGTAGAAGTGGAAGACATGAAATCATTTATAGTACTTTTATACATTTTATTACTATATATTGTGACGTACTCTTACAATTTGAATGAAAATACCAAACGGAAAGGAAGTTTGTAAATCAATTTCAGTTTAAAATTATTGGTTAACTAATGACAATTACTGCAGTGTTCAGGCCACGTCAAAGCGGACTACAATCAATTCCTACACTAAACGGTATGGCAACAGCTTATTATCTGCAATGTGGTAAATTGGAATTGTTATGGCAAAATTGTGGCAAGGAACAACTTCATTAGTTATTAGCACCGAACCATCGTACCACTGAAACCAACTCGAAGTGAACCACAATGACTACCTTCACAGCATTTAAACTAAACGTCAGTGACTTTGCGCTTTTGGTTTGAGCGAAAGAATAAAAAACGTGAAAATAATAAATAAATACAAAATCAAAAACAAAAACAGAAACAAAACAACAATAAAGGAAAAAATTGTCAATTACGAAAATTGAATTTTCACAATTGAAACAGCAACGACAGTAGCAAAAATAACATCAACAACATTAATAGCCTCAGCGATGCCATGCCAACAACAGTAAGAGCAGCAAAACGTTATATTAAGTTCTTTGCGAAAATTTTAAATGCAGCATCAATAGCATTGCTACAATGTCAGACCAAAGTTAAGATCAGCACAGCCAAAGACAGGCAATAGCAACAGCAACAGCAGCAGCAGCAGCAGTAGTAGCAGCAGCGACTTCTTAAGAAACCGACCAAACCGAATCCAACCAAATTGTCCACAGCAAATGTTGTCCTTTAATATGCGAGCAACTCTTTTGACAGCGCAAAAGGCACTAAATCGAAATGTGTAACCGCTGCAGGGCTTATTTTCCACATACCCGTACACGTACACGTACTCGTAAGATATAATGAGAAATTATTAAAACGAAATTTAATATGTTGCTTATACAAAACCAACAACAACAACAACGACAATACCAACAGCAATAACAACAACAACAACAACAAAGCCAAAAATAATAACGACAACATCAAGTAAAACTACAACTGCCACAATTGTTGCAACGAACAAACTCAAATGTTGCACTTCTGAATGAAGATGAGTACACTCTGTTTGCGTTCTTAATTAAATGTCCTGCAGCTATTTTCATATGCAATATGAAGTCCATTTAAATTATTGTGTTTAGTTTACAAAATCGGTACGGCATCGGCAAAGGCTGTGGCTTTAGCATTAGCATTAGCTTTAGCTTTAAAGGAATTTCCGCTCTAAGTAGTGACTGCACAAAGCGATTGGTTGGATGGTGCAATTTAAATAGAGTTGTTCAATTAAACAATAATATTTTTTCCATTAGTTTGAGTATGTGATTTCCTTGAGGGCATCACAAATGTCCACTTGAGCCGCTACAAGTCGTTAGAAAGAGATTATATTGCAATATACAAGGATATTAGTGTAATAAATAAGTGAATTGTATTGATATTAATGTATACGACATATATATAAATAAATATATAAATTAATGAAGATATATAATTTAATTAACCATATCATAAAGTAATAGATAAAAATTAATAAAACATTCTCAAGATAAATAAAATATTCTCAGACATAACTGAATAGAAAGCGACATCTATTGTTATAAATTAAAGTTACTTCAAGATGATTTACAAGCTCCACTTATTCTCTCTAATAATGAATAGTACTTAGATTAAGGTTTTAGGCTCAAGACCAATCCGCGAAAAACTCTACGTAGACCACATATGTGTCGGTTTCGTTACGCTAAAAAGAAAGTGGGTTTATTGCAATATACAAGGGCATTAATGTAATAAATAAGTAAAGAGTATTAATAATAACATATACGATATTAAAGAAATATTTAAAGAGAGATTTTGAAAAGTAATGAATTGAATTTTCGCCTGACCATAAAGCTATTTCGAGTATTGTCAAATATGTTATACATCATCAATGGTCTTGGAAGTATTTTTTATATATAATTTTTCGTAAATAATATTTTGAGACTGCAAAAACCAAGGGTTAAAAACGTACCCTACTAAATTTAAAACTCAGAATCAGCGTTCATTAGCCAACTGACTCAAAACCGTACTTCACTTCAAGGTTGTCACTTTATACAGATATATATTTGGTACATACGTATTATATCTGTTCATTTTAAATAGAGATGTATGTAGGATAATAGTATAGAATAATTTAATAAATATAAAAGTTATATGAAATTTGAAAGACATTAGTTTAGATTTAAAGCAGTTATTTCTTTTAACTTTTTTAATACAATTTACATATATATAAACAATATTGTTAATGAAAACCATATTATTGGTAT